AAGTTGAGATGTCTGTCAAGATTCATATTTGTATTTGTCAAAAATTTCTGGGTATGTTTGTAATGTCTGTGTGTGTGAATCTGCTAAAGTTTACCTGGCCGGGGGGAGAGGAAGCTGGAGGCAGCGAGGGAGCTCAGTCTGTTCTTCCTGCTCCTCACTGCTCCCTTGTGCGTGCCCTCTGTAGTGATGGCGGGTGCTGGAATATGACGTAATTCCGGCACGGCATCACTAAACTGCGCACGTGAGGGATCAGTGAGGAGCAGGAAGGGAGATCTCCAGAGAGAAGATCTCTACTGGATCAGAGTGAGAGGCCCCACACCAGCTTCCAAATGTAGGGAGATATAAATAAAATGATTTGTGAGTGTGTGCAAGAATGTTTAAGTGTGTGTGTGTGTCTGTCAGTGTGTGTGTGTCTATCAGTAAGTGTGTGCTGGTTAGTGTTGCGATGGCCGCGGCTGGACATTGGAGGACCTGGAGGTGCATGGAGTCATGCAACGCCACGTCACTTTCCGAAGTGACGTCAACATGCTCGACCTTTACAGGGTTTCAAGGAGTAGCGGGAGGATCCACTTTGGCACATGGTGCGGACAGCGCCATTGGGGGTATACCAGAGGCTGGACTCAGAGTCGCATATTGGCAGCGGCAATGTGAGTGGAGCCTGCTTGTTGGTTAATATTGTTTTTTTTTTAAACAGGTACTGGGGTTTAGTAGAGGGAGGTGCTGGGATTTAGTTGGGGGGGGAACTGGGACTTAGTATAGGGGGACTGGGATTTAGTGTAAGGGGGGCTGGGCTTTAGTAGAGGAGGGTCCTGTTTTTTCTTCTATACTATACATTTCAAAATACATTTTTATAGAAATGTAGATTTTGTAGAAGTTGTTGGGTTTTTTTTTGGGGGGGGGGGAGGAGGTTTACAGCCCACATAAACTTAAACCTTGTTCATTTGGCCCATGCTAGCCTTGGAGTTTGACATGTTTGCTTTAGATGCATGTAAAATTCGCAGCCCATAATGGACAGCTTTGCGGCCCAGCGAGCCGCGAGTACATGCTTGGTTTTGAAGCAGAGTAGGCACCTGATTTCCCCACATTGCAGGTGCCTACTGCTAAAACTTACCGGGGAGGAAGGCCAGCGAGGGGGCTCAGTGTTCCTGCTCATTACTGCTCCCTCCCTCGCGCTTGCCTTCTGCAGTGAAGCCGGGCGCCTGAATATGACGTTATTTTCCGGCACCCGGCATTACTAAACTGCGCGCGAGGGAGCAGTGAGGAGCAGATAAAAGATCCCCACTGGACCCCTGGGAGAGGCCCCACTTCGGCTCCCAAAAGGTAGGAAGCAATAAAGAAAATGGTGTGTTCAAGAATGTGTAAATCTGTGTGTCTCTCAGTGAGTGAGTCTGTCTGTGTGTGTGTGCGTTGATCAGTGTTGCATTGGCTGCGACTGGACAGTGGAGTACCTGGAGGTGCATGTAGGCACGCAACACCACGTCAAATTCCGACGTGACATCGACGTGCTCCACCTTCAAGAAGTAGCAGGAGGATCAGATTTGGCACAGGGTGCGGATGGCACCTTTTGGGGTATACCAGAGGCCGGCCTCCGGAGTCGCATACTGAGAGCGGCAATGTGAGTGGAGTGCTGGGATTTAGTAGAGGGGGAGGTCTGGGATTTAGTAGAGGAGGGTGCTGTGATTTAGTGGTGCCTTTTTTTTTTTTATACTGTACTTTTCAAAATAAACCTACGTTTCTATGAAAATTTGTCTTTTTTTTTTTGGCCCACATAAACTTAAACCTTGTTTATGTCGCCCGTGCTAGACTTTGAGTTTGACATGCTTGATTTAGAGCATAGGGACGCTATAGCATTAGGAATACAGTGTTCCTTTAAGCTAAATTAACATTTACAGTTTCATTGTAGCAATATATCGGAATTGCATAGGGCTCCTGCTCCTAAAATATTAGACATGAGGAATCAGAGCTCTCTTCATGCACAAGATAGCAGGTGGACATGAGAACAATATTAAAATGCTATGTGTGTTAATGTATACCTATATGGCTTTGTCAATCTGTGTATGCGTCTCAGTATGCGTCCTATGTATGCGTGTTAGTGTTTTAATTTGTCTCAATGATTGTCTCAGTGTGTAGCTATGTAGGAATATCAACCTGTGTCTGTGAATGCTTTTCCTTATGTTGGCATGTTGTTTATCTATGTATGCATGTTAGTATTTGTCTTTGTATACATGTTACAGTGTGTGTGCATGATACTTAATAGTTTGACATATGTGGCTAGTAATGTGTGTGAATGTAATATTCTGTTTGACCAGCAGATGTCTCTAATTGTTACATTTTAACATGCTATTCTTGGGAAACATGGTTCTAATAAGCTATTTTTATTTAGACCTCTGTTTTCATAATGAGTGATCCAATTTACCAGTTAAGCATTTCGGGTATATCAAGTGATAATGCAAAAAGTATATATATATATTTTTTTGTTTTTTTCAAGTAGACTTACGCTTCCTTTTGAGTACTCTACAAAAATGTTTCTGTTGACAATGAAACCCGTTTGTCACGTTTCCATTTTCTGAAGAGTTTCTGACTTAAAGAAAACATTGTTACCTGCTTAGTAGTTTTTCTTGTATCTCTGTGATTTTACTTTGCACAAAGTCCCAAAGTCAGGACTGTCCTGCCAAAATCAGAACAGTGTAATTTTATGTTACTTTTTTACTATTCTGTTTGGGCAAATAAGTTCTGCCATAAAACAAAGAAGGGATTATTTTGTCTCTTATACACAAGGCTTTCTGTCAAAATGTATGAAAAGATGGTTATTTAATACATCCCATAATCCCATTAATTATGAAGTGTTTAAGCGTAGTACCAACCCAGAATAGAGGGATAGGTTCCATCCTGCTGATTTCAGGACATTTGCAAGATTTGTATTTCCCCTTGTCTGTACATGTTCTTGTGTGACATTGGTCCACACTACCAATCAATTACCAAATGAATTATGCAAATATGTAAGTAGCACTTTAAGTACTATAACCATTATAGTGTGCCACAGTGGTTATTGTACCAGTCGTGCCTAGGTGACTACCATTGTAAGTAGTCAAAATGTTTTTTGAACAATTTAGCTTCTTACCTGATGTCTGCCAAACTCTTCTCTCCCCTTCCACTAATCCAATGTAGAGGTGAAAGCTCTCTATCTGAGCTGAGAGCAGCGGTGGTGATCGCTTGATGCTGTCAGCCAAGCAGCTGGCCCCGCAATGTAGGACATACTTCAGTAATGCAAATGCAAGTAGTTGGGGAAAGGAATGGTGCCCAGCAAATCCCAGGTAAAAAGCCAGACCATCTGGGTCAGTTGTACATGTCAGGTACAAAATTCTAAGGCGCTTCCTCAAACCAAAAAAAGTCAGATAAAGTATGTCTAAGAAATGTAATAACTGGACATTGCAGGCCTATAAACATCTAAAAACATATTCATGTTTGACAACTGCATGTGTCCATGTGTGTGTTTTTCTGCTCTGCCCATAATTTATTGTGCTTGAAAGTGTGAGATAGTGAGTGTATGCAGCCATGTATATGCATGCAGGATTAAATATAATGTAAGATGTGTTAATGACAAAGAGGGTGTCAAGGTTAAAGGAACACTATAGTCACCTAAATTACTTTAGCTAAATAAAGCAGTTTTAGTGTATAGATCATTCCCCTGCAATTTCACTGCTCAATTCACTGTCATTTAGGAGTTAAATCACTTTGTTTCTGTTTATGCAGCCCTAGCCACATCTCCCCTGACTATGATTGACAGAGCCTGCATGAAAGAAAACTGGTTTCACTGTCAAACAGATGTAATTTACCTTAAATAATTGTATCTCAATCTCTAAATTGAACTTTAATCACATACAGGAGGCTCTTGCAGGGTCTAGCAAGCTATTAACATAGCATGGGATAAGAAAATCTTAATTAAACAGAACTTGCAATAAAGAAAGCCTAAATAGGGCTCTCTTTACAGGAAGTGTTTATGGAAGGCTGTGCAAGTCACATGCAGGGAGGTGTGACTAGGGTTCATAAACAAAGGGATTTAACTCCTAAATGGCAGAGGATTGAGCAGTGAGGCTGCAGGGGCATGTTCTATACACCAAAACTGCTTCATTAAGCTAAAGTTGTTCAGGTGACTATAGTGTCCCTTTAAAGAGTGGTTAAAATAAGCTAGTTATAGGATGTTTACTGTTAAGAAGATTAAAAGTTTGAGAGGGGTTAAAGTTGAAGTATAAGGACTGTTTAGGATTATTGAGTCCCAGGTGAAATGAAGTATTGGGGTACCTAAGGTATTTCATTTTTAAGAGGAGTTAAACAAATAATTTAAACCACCATGACCATTTCAGAGATTTGAAGTGATCATGGAGGTAGGAGTCATGATGTGCAGTGTTTCAGCTTAAACAACTGCATTTACTGAGATATTGAGACTTGTACTAGTTGCATCCCCAGCACACGTGGCATTAGCAGCCTAGAACTCAGTTCTGGGTTACCGAATATCAATTCTAAGCATAAAATACATTTGTTTTCCGCGTGCAAGGGGAAGCCTGGATGTTTACTCTCTAGCAAATCTCTTTCTTTCATGGAGCCTTCCCCACAGCTGGGGCAGCACTGAGTTTTACACTCCCTAAAACTATGTCTGCAGGTCTGCTATTAAAGGAACTCTATAGGCATCCAGACCTCTTCATCTGAATTAAGTAATCTGGGTGCCATGTGCCCGGTAACCTAGACTGTGTCTAGTGCACTATAGCATTTTGAATACACATTAGTATATGTAGTGCTATAGTCTTTGTTTAAGGTTGACTGGATTACAGAGGACTCTGGCCAAGGCTCTTGGCACTTATCTGTCCCTGCCAGCCTATTTAATCTCAAAAAGGCACGTTTAAGTGTTGAAAACAGGCGCCCCCTAATGGACTGTATGGCCCCCTCTGCCTAACGGCCATACAGATCATTTTAAGACTGTTTGACTCCATACTATTGGGTGGTACCGGGGTATTCCAGGCACCATAACCACTACATAGTGTTGTAGTGGTTATGGTGCTTGGAGTGTTCCTTTTAAATGAGCCAATTTGTGGATTATATAAACCTGTGTAGTAGTTTGAATTTGTCATGAAAAAGATTTCTAACAAATGAGTAAAATGAGTAAAAGAAAAAGTTCCAGTCTTCCTGTTTATAGTGCAAATACTGACATGTCTATAGCTCCTGTCTGGAATATATACATGAAGCATTACAATCTTTATTGTAACCTATGATGTTTTATTAAACTATTAATCAGAATTTGAAGCTGCTTTTTGAGTGTGGCGTGATCGCTTGCAGCTAGGCTTCTTGGAGCATGTAGTAGTGTATGTTTATTTTAGTCTGTTAAACTGAATTTTGGTATAAAATCTGCTGAATTTATCTAGAACTGCAGACTTTGTTGATGTTTTATAGATTTATCTATTTCAGGGAAATTATCTACAGGCATGTTGTATGTATCTTCTATGGATGGAGCTGGGAGTAATGGGAATTGTGGTCCACCAAAACTACACAGGACAGCAAGTAACATGAATCTGAATTTTTGATAATTCCCAAATAGCTGAGCAAATGTACTTATTCACTGATTGCTAAATAATTGTAAGTTTAAATCAAATCTAGTGAATTGATCAATTGACCTTTGACCTTTTACTCTGTTGGCGGACTAATTAACACTATTGGGCCATATATCTTCTGACGAGAAGCATATTGTGATTTATTTGCCGAAACCGTTCTTGTTGCCAAACATATACTACCAAAGGGGTTGCTCATCACCCTAGGCTAGTGCATGAGGGGTTAAGTGAACTGTACTTTGTGAAGGAGTGTTTGGAGGACTCCCAAGGGGCATTGCTTTTGGCCTTTAGATGGATGAATGCACAAGAAAAAGCCCTTAGTCAGATTCATGTGAGCTGGGGGAAGGAAAAGGGGGGGCATGGATTGCCCTTCAAGTCCCTGTGGTTAAAGCTCTGTTGCTAGGAGACAATAGATAATTGGGGAAAAAAACACACACATTTCTGTCATGTTGTCTGAGTCATCATTGACTGGTAACTACTTCACAGGTGAAGGTTATTGGTATATCAGAGTATTGGAATATTAAAATAACATCTTTTTTACAAGACTTTAATGTGTGCTCCTGGTATAATTTCAGGTACTTGCAGTAAATGAGTATTTTGGGTGGTGAACCTAATTGCCTTATCAGAGATTTGAGGTGTATCAGAATGTTCAGATCTTGTAGACGTGTGGGCAACGTCTAAGGAACTTGGCTTATAACGAGAGGCAGTTTCTCTGTGGTTGATTCTCTGCATTTCAGGGTAAAAGGGAAGGTTTTCAGGTGACTGCGCAAATCTTAGGCTATTTGAGTAAATACACCTACTTCAAGGCAGATTAATTTGTTAAGAAGGATGACTTAAGTCCTGAAACGGTTTTGAATGACAGATGGCTTTAAAAACATTTGATTATGACATATTGGAAGTTTTCTCTGTAGCGAGCATGTTCTAGTGACTAGTCATTGTAGCGTTAATGTTTGGATATCTCGTCCAATGATTGTGATATTGGCTTAATATAAAAATATTCCCCTCTCCCATTTTATGCATCTCGAATACCCAGTTATAGGGAACAGCAAACGCCTGCTTTATTAGTAATTGACAGAATATATTACAAGGAAATTGTATTAATCAATAGGCTAAATTCTATTTTTACACTCTACTGATAAGGAAAAAAATCAACTCCCATGAATCTTTTCCACTCACTTTCCTTGTGACCAGCAAAATCAAAGGATGCTCAGAGGTTATATTTGATTAACAGCTGAAGGTTTTAGTGTTTAATTCAGCAGCACGCTTTTTGGAACAGATATTTTAACACCTGCCTCAGAGGGGTGACAATGGGGACATTAATCCCAGCATAATGAGACTTTAGGGTCAGCATGAAAGGTCACAGAATGTTCCTACCCACTTGATAGTTGGTGTAATGAATATACAGCTGCTGAGGAACCTCTTGGTTTAATAACCTTTTTGGATTTTGCGATTCTTATATTGAAATGTATCTGTCATACTTATTTTGTCTATTATTTAAATTCACTGTATAATTGTAAATCTCCACCGAATATGCTATTGCTAAAATAAAATTACTACTGATGATAAACCTTGACTGACAGCACTGCACGTTAATTTTGTATTAAGATATATGTGATGGTTTAATTCGTTTTTCTCTCTCGTTCTCTCTTCTCTAGTTTTTGTTTTTTACTTTTTACATCTCCTTCTTCACAGTGTACAATGTTTCCAAATCTTTAGGTGGGGTACATGAAGATAAAAGTCATGGCATCTTTACTCAGTTTGACACAGGGAGCCCCTCGAGCTTTAGATGTAGGTGGAGATCTTCATACAGCATGTTGTCAGCTGTAGGATCATGGAGATAAGTACTGATCAGCAAATAGGAGATATCTGTTTTTTATGACATTCTGCATTAACATGTGGATCCTTGTTACAATTTCATATCAAAAAGACTTTCTCTTTTTATTTTCTGTTATCTCATCCTCTGTAAAAATTTCAGAGCCAGTGCCTTTTCCTTTCGACTTCCCTCTGTTCAGTGGATGCTTTTGTCATCCGCTTGTCCCCCTCCCCGCTGCACATTTATTTCCATGGCAACTACTCCAAGGCATTCTGCAGCCTGAAACTCCTCTTTACCTCTTTCATCATGCAAGCTGGCATTGTCAGAGCCCAGTGCGTTCATAGCATTGAGAGGGAAGCAAGGGCATGATTAAGATGGCCAGCAATCGGAAAGGCCCAGGGACCCCATAAACCAAGCAACCTTCAAATGACCTAGCCTAACTTGCATCTATCGGGAAACTGGTCCATGCAGTCTCCCCCCATCTGAGGAATTATCCCTATTCTTCAAGAGGAGGATCAAGGTTTACATTCCCACAAAAAGGCAGAAGCTTGGCCGGTCTGCAATGGTCTGGTAAGCATTAATGTGCTCTGTATTTCATAGAAATCCTGGTGCTTTGGGGCTTTTAGACGTCCTATACACCCCCCCACAACCCCCCCATCATTCACCAAGAGCTCCGATTACATGTGCCCTTCATATTGCAGGCTCTTAGTCCTGTTCCCATGCCATTAGAAAAACTGCAGGAAACCGATCTGCAATATATTATGTATAAGATGCCTCATAAATATAATTTTTTAATAAATACATGTTAAAAATTGAATTTTCTCTTGCAACCATGTGGCTGATTGTGCCTATGAATTGTAGTATTCTAAGCTTTGCATAATGTAAAGAGTTTTATTCCAGATGGGTTCAGCACTGCTAATGCAAAGGGAACTTTAAACCCCCTCAATGCCAGAGAGTGGAAAAATCTACTTCCTCAAAGGGTTAAAAGTTATTAATGGCTATAGGTGCTGGGTTTACTGCTCTCTGGTTATTTGATTTCTTTGACATTTTGAATAATATACGCATTATTGCCTTTGCTGACCTTTTTCATTTTTTAAAAAATTTTTTATTCTCAATGTTTCACAAAATAAACGCAGAACAGATCTGATTTCTCTAAACGCACATATCCTTGCCACAAACCATGCATCTCAATGATTTCTGATTTTCCAATAATACTCATATCTTTAGTGGTGGGGAATATGAACCTTTTTCACATGCTGCTATTAATCTATTTTGACTCCAGCACTGTCTGCAAAGTTGCCCTGACAACTATGAGGCGACTCGCTAATGCCACTGGTCAAATTTCTGTGACGTTTGTTTTTGATGTGAATCGTCTTTGCAATTTTCTGTTAAAGGCCACTGGCTTTCCACCAGGTCTCCTCTCTGCATCTCTCCTCCTGCCTGTCCTACTCCAGGGCTTGCCTAGAGTCACTCACAGCAGCTGATTCGGATTTGGTCTAAAGTAGGCTAGTAGCTTGTATTTAATTGTCTGGAAGGCGATCTGTCTACATGCCTTGGGGATAGAAACAATCAGGGAACTTACATTTTTAATTATTTTGTGCATAATCCGATAAATTGAACATTATGTATGTGTATATTTAATTACCTGCTTGTACATGTTCCATGGCCGTGATGGGGAAAAAGTATGTCAGATTTACAATATCTAGCTGTAACATCATTCCTGCTAGGAAAGCAATGTATTGCTGGCATTAAAATGGAAGTGGGACTGTGGGCCCTATATGTTGTAAACCCACTCTCCATTTCACAGCAGGAACCAGTGTAAGCCTTCTATAAGAATTATAGAGTGGGGTAAAGTCACCTGGTACTTTTATTGACCACCACACAGCTGGTGGGCTCAGCAACAACTTGTGAGCGATGGGCACACATTAGTAAAATAAAAAAAATATAAGTAGTATAATTCCGGCATGCCTGTGTGTTCCCAATAATTTTCCGGTTCTTTCTTCGTTAGCACTTAGTTTTCTAGAAGAGATGATGGGAAGTGAGACCTCACGTTGATAATTGACCAGTTACACTATCCTAAAGGTTAATCGTGTTTTGGGAAACAGACTTGACTGTAAATTTTACATCTCTTGCCATTTTAGTTAATCATTTTATCTGGTGTCTTCACGTGTCAATCCTCAACCAAAACAGTTCAAGGTTTGGTCTCATGAGTTTCTGCAGCAGCTGAGCCTTTCCATTCCAGCAGTTGTACTTTTAAATAGCATGGCTGTCCAAAAGCTGTGAAGACGATAATCGATACCTTTGTGCCTTGCCAATAATCCTAGTGATTATTAAACTATTTCCCATGTAATACACGGAAAAAATTTTTTTTGCTTCTGGTACAGGTAGAAGCGGGGTGTTCTAGTTTAAATTATCGAATATTCCCATAGAATTTCAAGGCATGTTATACCATTTTGGCAACTCCCTCTGAACGTTTTTATATTCATGACGTTGCTGCTTTGCACATCTATGAATAGTGAGCTTTAGAAAAATAACCCTGGCACTGCACATGCTTGTGAATTACATCTACTATTGTACTCAGCTACTCGTTTTACAGTGTAATTCACAAGCATAACATAACTCCAGACTGCTCTGATTTGGTGGGCATGAAATCATTTGG